TATAAAATAGATGATCATAAAAATATTGATATCTATCTTTTTCTTGCAGTTTTTTCTCGTACCGTAAGTTTCTCGAATCTTTCTTATGAATACTAGATACATTCGATTTACACTGATTCTAATGTTATCTAAGAGTTTACTTATATAGAACTAGAAAAAAATCAAACACATCGTGTATTCGAATAGAGTGGGTGTGTTGTGGTGTGTGGATTGGCATGTGGATGTAGGTTTGCATGTTCTTCTTATCCACACCCACTCAAACTGGATAATTATCAGTCAAAAAGTGGAATTTTTGATGCTCTCGAATGTTATGTATTTGAGTGAATCAATGTAGACCGCTGCTTTCACAGGATGTGAATGTTGCTGTTCCGGAGTTGATGAACACCCACATCCATACCCCAAGTCATGATCGCTTATTTCCTATTTTTTTTAGTTTCGAAACCCTCAAGAATTCAGAACTCACCGAGTTCGAACATTGTTTGCACTCTCAATAAAAAGAATCTATCATATCTAACGTGAAAAAATCGTGCATTCATACGTTTGACAAGACACAAATTTGATTTTAATGTACTGTTATTTAATTATGAAGATTTGTTCAAGGAATCAAAAAAAATGAGTGAACATTTTCTTAAGAAACTGTAACTCTGCTCTTTCCTTGCTTCTATGATTCAATGTCATTTAGTTGTCTTTTTGATACAAAAAATGCTTCGTATCATCAATATCGGCATAGAATCACTTGATAAATGGATTGCCACAATTCTAACGATGCTCTTCGAAACAAAGTTCGACCGGTTAAAGTAAAAATATAGAAAGGCATTGCACTGGCTAAATAAGTGAGTAAAAGAACAAAATTATAGACAAACATATCAACAGTCGCCTGTAATTGAGAATTATATGATCCAATAAATGCTGCATATAATCTTTGAATAGTTTGTGGACGAGTGAGCACAGTGAGAACAAAGACTTGCACAAAAACCATCAGAAGAAGATGATGTTCATTCTTCTTTGATCCTTGTTGAGACTGATGATTCATTGTTGATGTTGTCGGATTTATTACATTACTAGTCATTTGTAATATTCGATGTTGACTTTGACGAATATTCGAGTTAGTTAGCAAACCAAATATGAACATAACCAATATAGGCACAATTGTTGTAAACATACAAATGTCATATCAGCTAATTTTTGGCATGCATGTGCTTTAGCGTAACATTTGAATGGAGCATCAATTAAATTGGCCTCATAGCAATAGAGTAACTCACCATAGACAATCATTGATACGATCACAACAACAACTGTTGCTTGTCGAGCATTTTTCAATGTGCTCAATTGACGACGATTAATTTGTACAGATGATGATAACCATCTGTCGATAGTACCCAAGACAAAAAACCAAAATATCATTGCTCGAGTTGAGAATACAATGAAGGTACGCACTTTACAGAACCATCCGATTGTATAAGTTGGATCGACTGCCCACCCAGATAGAACTCGAGTTATGAGGCCAAAATCAATTGAGATTAAACTAGCGATTAATGATGCAAAAAACAAGAATACACATGGAATTTGACGAAGTGATCGTTGAGAAAAAATTAAAATATTCAGAATATTTCCGATTGTGCCAATAAGAAAGATGAACATTGAAAAGTAACGACTAATGTAAGGCGATATATTGTTCAACAATTCGATAAGTTGCGCATCATTCGACGACGTTGACGACATTTTTTGCGTCTTACAAATTTCAACACTTGGAAATGGTAAAGAGTAAAAAGAAATTCTATATTTAAATGTTAATGCTCAGCTTTCATCAGAAAAAGATCTAATCACAAGTGAATTGAAGAAGAAAATATTAAAGTTATAGAATAACTAATGTATTAACCCACACCCACACCACCATAATACCAAGACGATAAAAATAATAATACTGACAATAGAAATCGAAGATATTTGAGCATTTTCTCACTGAAAAAAAAAGAATATTTTCTATTGTTAGAACGAATGTAAATTATTCTTATCTAGGTGCACTACTAGTAGGGTAAGAAAAACGATAATTATAGACGAGATAATAACTTCTTTATTTCGAATATTGAGAGAATTTATATAGATTTACTGAAAAGATTGCTAACGTCTGAAAAAAAATGACTTTAATTGACCAAAAACTATCTTTGATCTCGGGTCGGATCAAATAAAAAATTTTCTGCTTCAGATTGGGTCAGGTCACGAAAAATTGACTCATATGGGGCACTGTAACGGATAGATTTAATCAGGCAACCTGTTCGAGTGTAAAATCACTTTTTGTATGAGATTATTACCATTAGAAACACATTCATGCGTCATGGAAAAGTGTATCCTCTTTTTAACTCTTGAGGTTTTCTTGACGAGTTAAGATCATTTTACTAAGTTTTGAACCTATTGGATATGGAGCTATTCGGAACTAAATTCCAAGCTAAAATCTTATTATATAGATCTTAAAACCATAAGAATATACTAGAAGTTTTGTCTAAACACTAATTGCTCTATCCAGATACTTAGTTTTTTTGTAAAAAATCTTCCGTTTAAAACTGGGTAGCACCATACCAACGTTTTCAAGATAATCTACTAACTCAGTAAGGCAGAGTTCGTTTTGTCTAAAACTTTTAGGCTATTCTAATGATTGTAACACTCATTCAGGAACGAAATTTCAATTCGAAATTCAATCATCAGATTATTTAAACAAGATAGACCTTTTCATTACGCACTAATGTCTCCCTAATGGCAATAGTGTCATATAACAAGCAATTTTACGTTCGAGCAGATTTCTTTGTATATATCATTTAATAGAGAGCTGTTGTTTTCAATTCGAGTGTCGCCGAAAAAACTGCCAAAGATTTCTATCTAGTAAAAATTTCTACACTAGTCTAGAAAGATATATTTGCGAAAGCAGATATTTAAATGACTTTTCTACGAGCCATTCTAGTCGATCAATGATTTCATCACATAATGATACAGTGACGTTTTCATTGCATCTTGAAAAAAAAATGGTTGAATACCTTGTTGTTTTCGAATAATTGCGGTGTGGATGTGAGTGGGTAACTGTTAGTCAAAGTGCACATCTTTGCTTGAACCACACCCACACCGTTTGTTTTAGTCAAAATTTTAACTATTAAGATTAAAACCGGATAAGTATCCGTGAAAAAGTGGAATCTTTAGCGCTCTCGAATGTTCTGTATTTGAGTAAAACAAAGTAGATCGCTGCTTTCACAGCTTAATACTGAGATAGTTTCGTCACACTCTTATATGCCATTTGATGTATAAGACAAATTCAAGAAGCTTACAAAAGGAGACTAAGTTTCCATATAAACAATGCATTGTATGATGCTATAGAAGATCGATAAAATCGAGTTTCAAGTCAGCTGCACGCATCAGAAATGAGATGTAAAATGGCAATCAATCCCTAAAATCTTGACTTTTCAGCCGAAAAAAAGAAATTCAACAGTGAGAATGTAACGAATTTCATCGCTTAACGACTGCCTCCTTTATGACGTTATTCATCCGTGATATAATGATTTATGCATGGTATTCTTTCTTTTTCTTTTCTGTATGAGCTCTTCTTTATAATGTTGATCTTGAACGATATATTATTTCATTTGTTTTCTCTGTTGTGTCAAATATATAAGAATATGTTTGTATTAATATAATGGCACGATTGAATTGATCAAAGGCATCCGTAAGTATCGTTGTCTATGATACCAATAGAGTTATTTCTTCAGTGCGTCACACAATACAGTTATATAATTGTTTGCAAATACTAATATTCTTTTTTTTAGTTGGAATCATAAGTAAATATTTTATCAAAACTCTAAATGGGATGTCGACCATTCGAAATAATAAAAATTATGTTGTTTATGTTTACTAAAATATAAAATTTTATCAATATTTATTTTCGATGACAAGAAAAGAAAAGTATTCATAAATACATTTCCGTCATGTCTTGTAAAAAATATCTATGGTGAAATGATTCAATTCATTTCAAGAGTTCAAAAAGCTATTCATTGTATTTTTTATCTACTTAGTAAAAGATAATCCATTTCATTTAGAATTTTCACAACAGAAATATGGATCAAGTCAAACGAAAATTAACTTTTAATCAATCACCAAGTGAAGAAACAAAAAACTACGAAGTAAATTGTTTGAATTTAGACATAAACAATTTTTTTATTTTTTATATAAAGAGATGACATCGATCGATCAATAATATGTATTGAATATTTGACGAATGAATTTTTCTATGAAATATTTGATTATTTTGATGGTTATAAAATATATGAAGCATTTTCAAATCTTAATCATCGATTTCAATGACTTCTCAATTCTTCATCTCCTGTATTTAGAATTAAACTTGACGATTCAATACACGATGAAACATACGTAAATAATTGTACACAATTTCTCCTTCTTAATAGATATAAAATAGTTTCCATGAATTTATGCTTCGAAGAACAAAGCAATAGTTTTTTTCTCTCATTGTTTACTATTGATTCTTTATTAATGGGATTGAATCAACTATGTTTATCTCACTTCTTATTAATTTAGCTTATCTACCTCGTCTCTTCGCCTTAACTATCGACACAACGTATATTGAAAATGTAAACAATATTTACGAATTAGTATTCGCCTTACGTACATTGACAACGTTCAGCTTCATCTATTCTGCAAGAGAGATTCCAATCCTACTCTCTATGGCTACCAATAAACAGCTAAGTATTATTAAATATCTTTCTATTGCTCATTCTTGTACTTCATTTCATTATTTTGAATTGAACGACAATGGACATTTGAAACTGGAATCGCTGAAAATTATATCATATATTCAGTTCATCCTTACAGGTACATTGAAGAGATTTTTCTATATGAAAATAAATTATTTTGTTTTTGTCTGTTTCATTAGAAAAAGATGGTACAATTATTCACAAGATAAAATTTTCAATTCGTCTACTAAATATTCTAAATCCAATCTACTCATGGTTGCATATAGGTATAATAGTGATTCTGATAAATTAATAAGGATAGATGTTAAATTTGCTTTAACTATAGCACTATTTTATCATCTGGATATTAAAAACAAAGAATTCGATATTGGAGCATTAATCAAAGCTATACATTTGTTACCAGAACTTGATACATTAAAGATTCATTCTTTATCATTAAATCAAACAAACGTGTTAAATTTTGAAGAATTTAATATATTATATTCAACAAACGATACATGTAAAATTACAAAAGTATATCTTGAAAAGATGAATGATATTGAAGACTTTAATATTTTTTTAATAGTCTGTCCTTATATGAAATATTTCAAAGTCGATGATATAAATCATATGGATATTGAATCTGTTTTAAGATTTATTATACAAAAAATTAATTATGATTGTAATAATTATATTCAATTATTGTGTTTTCGTATTGTTGCACCAGATAATGAAATAATTGAAAAATTAAATAGAATGATTCATATTGAAAAACTTCTATTGACTTATAAAATTAAACATCTAGCTGAGAATATCTATTTAGAATAGAATGGTTATTTAATAAAATAAATGATCTTTAAGTTAGCAAAATCCATATCAAAATATGATATTTTCTGTTTGTTTTTAATTTCGATCGTTTTCTATTTCTTCACATAAGTAATCATAAAAATAGATCTTTTCTTTTTGAGTAAATTTTCAAAAGAATTTCCGAAATAATGCAAAGATTTAGCAAAAACTTCTTCAATAAACGGTACAAAAATTATAACATATTTCAAAGATAAAAAGTATTTTTCATTAATAATAGAATTTCATTCTTCAATCTTAATAGAATATTGTGTTTTACCAGAGAGTCCTTGTATTTTAATCCATGCTTTATATAATTCATTTTCCAATGTTGTTGTAAAAGGAATTTTAATATCTGTATAGTAATAATTAATAGGCTTTTTCGATTTTAATTGTTCTATTTCTTTTGCTAAATAATTTATAATTTTTGATTTATTGCTTGCATTTATTTTTTCATGTAAAGTAAATTCTGTTAAAATTTTGAGTATTTCATAAGCTTTTATGGCACTTTCGTTTTTTAATGATTCCAATAAATCATTAATATATTCATCTGCTGATAAATGTATTAGAGGAATTCCAATCACAGAATATTCTTTTACAAGATTTTCATCCAGTAATGTATTCATAGCATTTACAATTACTTTATGATCAGATTGGTTCAGTACTGAAAGTAATATAAAAGCGTTGCCTCTTGCTGGAAAAAATGGATGATTATTAAGCATTTTTTCTAAAAGTTTAATCATTTGAATCTTATTGAAGTTTTGAGAGTTTGTTATTTTTCGATACAAATAGTCTTCCTTCTGAGCACAAGCAGATACTAATGATAATAGATTTTCACATAATATCAATGAGAACGCAGTATCATTAATATCATTAAAACTAGCCATTTTTTGTAATAACCATTTAATTAAATTTTCCATTAGAACAATATTTATCGACGTATTATTTAACATATTTAGTATTGTTTTATTCAAATCAACTGAAACAGTAAAATTACAGCGACCTATATGCTTGATTTCATCATAACTACATCGTGAAAGTTCTTCAACATTGATGGTTCTCTGACTGATTAATTTTGATTCAAGATTTTCCAAATATGTTTCATCAATAGTATGTGTTGAGGCACAAATTTCATCAAGAATAAATTGTATATTTTCCACATCTGTATGTATAAAATATAACTTTTCCTCAAATTCATTGGTGTCTGTAATTGATAAAACTCTCGCAAAGTTCACCCAATCATTTTGTTTAATTTGAGAACGTCTGATTAAACGCATCGTTGAATGAAGTAGTTCTTCCACATACCGCGGATGTGATGATAATTCTAATGATCGCATTATAGAATTCCAAGTATGATCATTTATAAATTGGATCTTATCAAAAACAAATCTTGTTCTACCAACAGAGTTTATCTGTCTTGATTGCTCAACACTTTCATATAAGTTTCGAAAAACTGTGGGATCATCCCATAGTACGTCAAGGAAAAAAGTACCAAGATAGGTACGAACATTTGGAAGAGATTCTTTAATCCATGCATCTTGAAGAATTTTTCTTAAGGTTTTTTCACCAATGACAGATATTCTCTTACTAGGTTCACTGACATCTCTTTCTGGATGTTGAAAAATTCGTTGAGCTCTATATCTCATTTGATCATTATCACTTTTTAATAAATCTAGAATTGTATCAACTGCAGGCTCAAAAATATGTTTTACTTCTGCCAGTAAGAGTGCTGCCAATCGTTTGATTGGATTATTGTTATTATAATCCGTAAACCATCTTTGAACAACTGGTAATACTTCATTTGATGGTTTTATAATATATGGAAAAAGAATTGAAATCGTATCTACTTTATCTTTTCGTACCAATTCATCTATAATAATTGCTATTTGTGGTGTCAAAAATATTTCATTATGTAAACTAATGTTTAATATCTTTTCAATATTCGATTGGTTATCAATGTCTTTTAAAAGATTAATCCATAATTGATCTATGTTTTCTGTTTTATTTATTAATAGTTTGATATCATTCAATTGTGCAAACAGTAAGAATAAAGATTCAAGTTCAGCATAATTTTGAATATTATCATTCTTGGTTTGTAAGTTTTGACTTATATCTAAATTTAATTTAGACGTATCAACATGCAATTTTTCATGAAATAATATTCTTCCATAATAAGAATTAACAAAATAAGTATACATTTTATTTTGAAGAGTTTCTATAATTCTAGTCAATTTAATTTGAAGATCATCATAAATTCGAGTTAATAATTGTAATTTAATAATAAGTTTGATTTTATTATCATCTTCTTCCAAGATAAGAAGTGTATCTATTGCAATAGTTAAATATTTTTTTCGAAATTCTCCTGATCCATAAAATGATAATTTTATCGATGCAATAATTCGATTATAAACATCTGCAATATTGTCAAATGTTAAAATTAATTCATTAACTATTTGTTGAATAAATAATTTGTGTTCTACTTCCTTATAATGAACAATATTAAAAATTTTTTCCAAAACTTGAAACTTTAAAATTGGATCTTGAATATTCTTTGTTAATATAAAAGATTCATTTAAGAGTTCATAACTTTTTTCATCATAAAATTCAGCTAACTGATATAATGCTCTTGATTTATAATAAGGATTGTACATTGATTGAATTTTCTCAAATAAAAAATCTTTGATATCTAACTGTTCAACTAATTCAGGTAGCAAAATTTTGTAGATCTTAAATCTATCTAAGTCTGTTGACATTATTCCAAAATGTAACAATATCACTAATGGAATCAATTCAGAATTTTTATCGAAATATCCTTCGTTGAAGAAAACATTAGAAATACTATCCACTACATATGGTACATTTATATTAATGTTCTCTAAACAATCGAAAAATGCTATTGGGATATCATTTTCGTTGTTTAACTTGAAAGTAAATATATCTGTGACCCATGAATATGATCGAATTGGTCTATAAATCTGAATGGTATCATTAATTTTTAAAAATGATTTTATAAGTTCATCAGTTTTTCCTGTTGCAGCAAATTTATCTGCTATGACAGCAATATTGTATCGGAAATCATCAGAGGAACCAGTGAATTTAAAGGCAAAATATTCTGCATACAGATAGCATTTATCTTCAATACTATCGATAGCTTCAGCTAGTGTTTGAGTATCAACTGGTAATCCTCCACTATTAACTATGAATGATAAATATATTTTGCAATAATCGGAAAAACTAAGATTGTATTTCACTCGATTGATGTTCATGTCATTATAAATTCTAAGTAAATATTTTGCTATATATGAAGACCATCTTGCGACTGGATCTTTTAAAATAGAAATTAATTGTTGTATTCTGTTTTCTAAGATTTTTATCATAGTTTCTTCACCTTCGTTTATAATACTATTTATAAAATCGTAATTTCCTAAGGCTACTAACACAATTAATGCTTCCGTTTTTTCGCTTGTGCTTAAGTTTTGATTGCTTATTTCTTTTTGCAATTGCTCTATTAAACTATTAGCAGGTTTGTTCTGTGAGAGTAAATTGAGTATTTGATTTGTCAGAAATGATTCTTTGTAGATGTCATTTTTGTCAAATATTGGCTTCTTATCCCATCGTTCCTTAGGTACCTCTGTATCAAGATAGACAGCCATTCGATAAGCTGGATCATCTCTACCCCAAACTTCTTGGTAATAAAAGATAAATGGAGTCCGTTCATTGTCACTTAACTGAAGAAATTGAGAAATTTCATAATATTCAGATATAGTTGTTGGAGTATTATAATTTCTATATCCTCCATAAAGAGTTGTAATTAAACATAACCAATCATTGTTCTTTACAATATGTTCGATAATTTCTGGATGTTTATTGAGTGTATCTTTGAATTTTAATTGTACTAAAACAGCTTCATCTTTAATTTCACTGGAATAAAATCTTAAAAGTGAATCGATTGGCCAATTCCAATTATTAGAATCATTGTGTAAATTTTTTAAAAATATTTCATGAAATATTGGATTATACCACTTAAGTTTATAGATGATGTTGGCACATGCAGCAATGTTTTGTTCATGATTTATTTTTTCAATAAACCATTCTGCCAGTATATTATCATATTTTATTTTCAATTTCAAGAAATATGAATGAATTAGTTCTTGATGTGCTTTTAATCTTGAAAAATCAGACATATTTTTATAATCAAATAAAAGCACATCTGCTAGTTTTCGAATCAATTCATATTCTGTTTCTTTTGATAAAAAGGACATATCATTTAATGAATCAATAAGAACAAATGGTATTAGAACTGTAGAAGATTGTGTATTGGATGAAGCTTGTTCAGCCTTTAATAATCTTGTAACAATATTATTAAATATTCCATTATTCTGAACAGATTTACTTAATATTCCAAATGTCATACTTAGAGGTACTCTCCAATTAGGAATACCAATTTTATTTTTGATATGTTCATAAATCATATCTTCAGATCGTTGATTTCCATAAGAATAGATAATACTTTTAGCTGCAAGATATTCTTGAAATGTACGATGTATAAATCGAAAACTATTATGACCAAATTCATTGAGTAAACCTGCTTGATATTTAAAAATATCCACAAGTTTTGAAATTAAATCATCAACATGTATTTTTTGATTCCTCAATAATTGATTTTGATAATCTATTAAACATACTCTTATTATCTCTTTTAAAATATTCTCTGATAATCCTTCAGTTTTACTATGTAAATATTCAGCTATTTCTTGCATTATTGACCATAGTATGATACTATTTAATCCAAACTCTTGACTTACATAATGCGTTGGAGAATTAATATCAGATGTGATTAATCGTTCTATCATTTGTCCAATAGCTATTTCATATAAATCAATTCTTTTCTCTGGTAATCTATCTTCATGTTGATAATAAATTGTAACAATGACACTAGCTAATTGTGGATTAATTGCTAATTGAAAAATATCTTTATTTTTCGTAATATTATTATATAATTGATTAGCTTTTTTTTTTTTGACATGTTTTTCTACTTTCATGGAAAAATTTTCAATACATTTCATATATGAACGGCAAAATAATTTGAGAGCATCATTAGACATATCTTCAATAGTTAATCTTGGTATATAAAAATTAATTTCTTCAAAATAATTTCCTTCAATTCGACTTGTTACAATAAAACGATTTCCAGTATTTAGATCTTTAGTATTATTTATTTCCTTTTGTTCATAAATTGAATAAGTAAGTTTATCACATTTTACATCATAATCAATTCCTCGTTCTAATAATGTATTGATTTCTTTCATTAAATCAGATCTATCTATGTGAGCAGGAACTTCATCTAATCCTTCAAAAATAACTAAAATATTTCCTTGTACTAATGATTCCATAATGAAAAATGATAATAGTTTTCGATCTTCATCATCGAAAAATGTCGAATCAAGCGTAACATGTTGATATATAAATTGAAGCAAAGTTATTTTTTGCTTATTCTGATATTCTTTTAATTGATCAACATATTTCCATATTGGAATAAGAATTGGTATTTTTTCTTTTAAATCACAAGTATTATCAAATAACATGTTTTTCTCACCTAAGCATTGTTTAGCCATGTTCATTACTAACCATTTCGATAAAGTAGTTTTGCCTGAACCAGGATGACCAAGAATTACAAAATGTCTAAATTTATTGTATGCTTGTTGAATTTGATATTGTTTTGCTTCATTCAAACTATTTTTTGTCAAAACACTTCGCTTCAGTCGATTCACCTTATTTTTAATAGCAGTTACTTCATTTTGGGTAAATATATCTTTGTTACTTAACAGAACATTTAACCATTGATCTATCATGAAATCTTGATATATTGTTTCTGGATTAGATGTACTTCGTTCCATAATAGCTCTATTCAGTTTTCTCATTTCATTTGTATCAAAAAAGCCATGAGATAAAAGTTTACGCTTAAATTCTTCATTAAGTTCAAGTGTTTTCATTGCTTTAATCGATGGATGTGTTGGATCAAATTTTAATTCGACATAGACACTTTGCAGTGGTAAACTAATATTATTGTTAGAACTTCCAAGTATTGATATATGTCCATATTTCTTAATAAGATAATTCAAATATTTTTTGCGAATCATTTCTTTTTTGTCTGTAAATGATAAATGTTCACGTACTAATGATGTAAATGATTTGAAATTTTTTATGAATTGTAATAAATCTTCTGAAGTCTTGCCATAGTGAAGTTCTTTTATATTGTCGAAAAATGAAGTATCTGATATTTGATGAAATAGTTTATGCGTATTCGATGAAATAATTCTATAAATTGACAAGGATTTTTCACCTGTTACATGAAATATCCATTTTAATAAATTCGATAATTTAGGATCAAACATTTCGCTATCGTATCCAATGAATACTAAGGCTTTTTTGTGCAGAAATGCTTTCAAGTTTGATTGTCCAAATTCGTTTTTACAAAATCGATTATAAGCATCGCTAGTGAAAATCATACTGTCCGGTTCTTGAAAATATCCGTGTACATGTAGTATATAATGTTTCAAATTTTCCAATGAATGTTTGAAGCCATCATTATAATAATTTTTCCAAGTTAATGGTCTTCTATCTAGCACATTTTCTAGAAGCGAATCATAATTAGTTGTTAAAATTGGACTACCTAGTTCTCCTATTGCTTTGATAAGTTCCGGCTTTTTTGCTAATAGTTTTCCTACTGTTTCCATTAACCATATTTTGTAAACATTATCTTTTCTAACTTCACTTTGCTGTTTGAAACAATATTTAATTCGATCAGCAGCATGTAAAAAATCATTAACCTCCACTGTGTTACTCTTGAATCTGTTATTGAAATCTTCAAACTCTTTGTCATTAATCCATCCTGATTGATAACATCGTTGAAGACCATGTTTTAATAATCCATTCCAATGCGAAACTTCTTGTTCACCGTTGGTTGTGTACATAGATACACCTGCACCAATAAATATTACTGCATTATTTAAAGCTATGTCATTTTTCACTTTTTGAATCTCGTCAGCCATTCGTTAAGTTTTATGATCTGAAACTTATCATATATCTGAAAAATACAATGATAAAGCAAATATTATAGTCGTGTTATATAATAGAAATAATCGTTGATAGGTGTTGAGAGTGTAAGTGGGAACCCGCATCCGATGAATAGTTTGTTGATAAATACGATTTTTATGAAATATTAAAAGGATCATCAAGATGGTATTATCAAGGCCCAGCCCCCACCCAAAATTTTATTTTTGCCTTAGAACATCCAATCTTAACGAAACTTTCAGGGTAGATGTATCTTGGGCTGAGCACCGCATGGTAAAAATTTCAGCTTGAAATCTTGAGCCTTTCAAGAGGTAGTTTAAGATTAAGGTTCAAAACGTAGGTCTTCGCGCGTCCCAGATTTCTCCACCATTTTAAATGTTAGAAAACCCGAGCTGGTTTTAAAATGTAGTGAAGACTTGGGTCTACAACTTAACAAAGTCCGATTTTTTTATTTTTCTGTAGTTTGGTTTTTAAAGACCTTCTACGTCATGATATGAAATTAGTAGGGTGTAAGTTCTCAAACATTTTCTCCTCATCTGACATCAATCATGAAATCGAGAAATCCGACTCTGTTAAGTTGTAGTGTCAGTCCTTAACTATGATTTAAAACAAACCCGAGCTTTCTAGCTTTCAAAATGGCGGAGAAATCTGGGATGCACGAAAAAGTAAAAACAAAAAATCTCATTTTGAGAAAAACGCAAAAAAAATATTGAATTATTCGAAAGACGCCGTTTTTCTTGAATAGAGGTTTTCAGAAAAACATCTGTAAAACCCTTAAAATCCATCGTAAACAAAATAAACTATAGTGCATCCGATAGCGGACGTGATACTCTATCACATGCGCTATTTAAAAAAAATCGATAAATTTGACAAAAATCAACTTTTTTTGGGTGGGGGCTGGGCCTTAAAGAAAACAATGAATAAAAACAATAATTACTTAACTATTGGTTACGCGTTTCTATTCTCTTGACACATGAAGCTCTTCTAATACAGAATTCGTTACAAGAAACATAGGAATAATATAAAAAGCTTTGATAAAGAAAACGAACAAATGTTTTATTTTTTCTAACACTCACCTGTGTTTGACTGCTTTTACAAAAAATTACATCATACATCAAATGAAAAGTCGAACGTGACTGACTGTTCTCTTTCTCTGAAAAGAGTATAATATTTTTTTTCTTCCTTTCTCGGTGTTTT